GGGGTAGCTGTGCAGAAACTGGTTGTGGTCCTCTGTGAGTGAGAGCTTCTGCAGATCAGCGTCTTTCCTCTTCAGCTCAGTGATCTCCTGCTCCAGTTTCTCCTGAAGCTCTTTGACTCGACTCACTTCACGTTCCTGCTGGGATCTGACCTGCTGCTCCACCTCAGAGCGGCGTTTCTCCATCAGACGGATCAGCTGGCTGAAGATCTCCTGGCTGTGCTCCACAGCTTTATCAGCAGAGCCGTTGATAGCCTCCACATCCTGTTGGAGCAGCTTCACATCTTCTTCTCTGTCCTGGATTCTCTGCTGGATGTTTTCTCGACTCTCCTCCAGATCTTTCTGCCTCTCAGTCCTTTCTGCTGCAGCTGAGACTGTGTCGTGACCTTTGTGTTGGTCCAAACAGCAGAGATGACAGATAGACTTCTGATCAGTGCGGCAGAAGATCTTCATCACCTCATCATGATGAGAGCAGATGTTCTCCTGGAGGTTCTTGGAGGGCTCCACCAGCTTGTGTTTCTTAAATGAAGGTGATTCAAAATGAGGCTGGAGGTGAATCTGACAGTAAGAAACCAGACATCGCAGACAGGACTTGACAGCTTTCAGTTTTCTCCCAGAGCAGAAATCACAGGCCACATCTTCAGGTCCAGCCTCAGAGGAACCATCAGGAGCAGCTTGGAGTCCGCTCTTCTTCACTTCCTCCACTAAATCTGCTAACATGGTGTTTTTCTTCAGGACAGGCCTCGGTATGAAGGTCTCTCTGCACTGAGGACAGCTGTAGATCATCCTCTCAACCTCAGTATCCCAGTAGGATTGAATACAGCTCATGCAGAAGCTGTGTCCACAGGTGAGAGTCACCGGATCCTTCAGAAGATCCAAACAGATGGAACAAGAGAAAGACTCACGGTCCAGATGAACTCCTTTCTGCGCCATTTCAACACTCGCTGTCGACGACGACTGACTGAGTTTTATTTCCTGAGAAGTCAAACTAGTCTGAGCTCTGATCTCAACAACATGTGAGTCAGCAGGATATGACCTCAGCACACGGAGGTTACACCCAACCAAGACTGTAGATCTGAGGGGGAGGGAGCAAGGCAGGGAAGGAAACAAGGAAGTGAGAGTGCAGAGTGGAGTGAGCTGTGAGAGACGAGGGAGGGGGGGATCCAGTTTGTCTACAATCCAGGATGAGGAGTGTCTCTGTGAACTTTAGACTCTCAAACTCCAACAAGCAGAAGTTCTTAAAGCTGCAGCCGTCCTGAAGATCAACTGAACCAACATTTATTCACCTCATAGAAACCTCATCGAGCAGAAACACACTTCAACTGTTTTAGAGACACAGAGTTAAAGAGACAACACAGAGAAACTCTCTCTCTCTCTCTCTCTCTCTCTCTCTCTCTCTCTCTCTCTCTCTCTCTCTCTCTCTCTCTCTCTCTCTCCCTCTTTTCTCTCTCCCTCTCTCTGTCTTCTCTCTCTCTCTCTCTCTCTCTCTCTCTCTCTCTCTCTCTCTCTCTCTCTCTCTCTCTCTCTCTCTGATCGCCGGACTCCTCAGCTGATCACAAGAGTTCTATTTTTTCCGGACGCCGGAGCATGGCGGATAAATTCAGCACAGATTAACCCGTGCTGGAAAGGAAGTCGGGCACAGACACAAAATAAAACATCCGGCTTCTTTTCAAAATAAAACACTCCGTGTTTCAGGAGGATCGTATTTCACACCATGCAAACGGGCGGAGACGAACAAGTGAAAGGTTTTTAGACGTCATTTCACCCCGATGACACCATGGATGAGGAGATGCTGATTCTAGAAGTCTAGAAGTAGATTTCCTCCTCTGGAAGGACACAATCTACTGCTTATATGTCTATGTGTCTGTCTTTAGAGAGACAACTTGTTATCGTGTGATTGAACGTGAATCTGCAGGTTCTTGTGATCACCGCTGTCCATAATCCACCATAAAATTTGCCTCACCAACAGACGTTATGACGTGGAGACCAGCGTAAAGGTCACTACAATGACGACCAAGTATTACTGTAACACTTGTTTTGATCACAATATCAATATTCTTAATCCACGCAGTTGTGGTCAGTAACAGAGGTCACTGAAGCAGCCCTGAAAGCGCTGTTAACCCTTCGCTGACCCTAACAAACCTCAGCCCTGACACTGACAGGGAGCTCTGAATCCTTTTAGCTTCACTGGTTTATAAGTCGCTCAGTTTTCTCTGCAGCGTTCTTCTTCTTCATGGATTTTATTCAAACTCAAATTTTCACTTTGTCACTCATTGATACGTCGTCAGAAACACTCAAATGATGAGATCCATTTTCAGTCAGCCGTTCTCATCGTACCAACATTCAGTTAGTCAAACTCTGTTAAAGGTGTTGTAGTCAGGATCTGAGGAGGTTCCAGTTTTTAGGAGAAATCTTGAATGTAAACTCTACCCCTCCCAACCAGTTTTCCCCTCAGCTCCTCCTCTCCCCTCAAGCCCCGCCCACAAACAGACGCTCCTGCTCGCTCGTATCGTTCCAATTAAATTCAGATATAATGCAGATAAATACTTCAGATCATTACAAATGGGGCCCAGTCAAGGTGAAAGTCAAAAGCATTGGTGCTACTGTAGATGCCAACAGACTACCAGCAAACACAATGTTTGCAGGACTTCTACAACGAGGATAAAGTGACATAGTCCAGGACCCGAGGGAGGACAGTTTAGCGATGGCGCTACAACACGCTACAGCAGGTCCGTTTGACAAGAAACACTTCTGTTACAGACACTTGTCTTACTTTGTTAAAGCGGTTTACCTGTCCAGCAGAAAGGTTACAGGGTCACCAAGATCCCCAAGCGTCCCCCATGGTTTATGTTGACCCGGCTTTTTAGCTCTTGTCCGGTCTACCTCCGTTTTAAGCGCCCGTTATTCCTCCAGAGTCTCCGGTATTTACTTTGTTTTCTTGCTTGTGTCGGCAGTCGTGGCCAAAGGAGGATTCAGACAATTTTCCGAACTTTCTGGTTGGTTTCTACTGTCCGATATTGTAGCACGCTAACTTTGTTTGGGCTCCTGAACGACACGGGGGAGCAGCGTCTGCCTCACAACCAATCAGGTTAGAGGAGGTGGAGAACGGCTTTGTTTACAGTCAGAAAGAGCGGACCGCTCAAAAATGTTCAAATGTTGACTACACAGACAAAAGAGAACACAGAGATATCGATATATTACCAAATAATCAATAACTAATAACTGTTGACTGATATTAAAGAGTTTTTGTTTATAAACAAAATAAAAAGATGTCTTCTCCACCTTTAATCTGACGAATATTTCAGAGACTAAATCTAAAGTTCAGTGAGACAAACATCTTCGGTTCATCAGGCTGTAAATAAAAAAACATCAAAAACTAAAAACTTCGACTTTGATGTTTTCCAGAAAAACAACAACTTCCTGTTTTAACCATAGAGGGGCGGAGCTCCGAGGCCTCATTAGCCGCTCGTTAACATCCTCAGAAGCATCCAAATACACAACAATCAGTGTGTCTGTCCGTCAACACACACACACACACACACACACACACACACACTTTTATGAGGCTAATTAAACACTCGTTAGCGTTGTTGATGTAATTTGTAGATTAAATCCGTCCAGTTGTCCGTCACAGTGAGAAACATCAACAACACACAGAGTTTGATCTCTTAACGAGCGGCTGCACCTTAACGAGCTTAACGAGCCTTCAGACAACAGCAGAGCCCTCAGGAGACCAGCAAACACACACACACACACACACAAACACACACACACACACACACACACACAGACACACACACACACACACACACGGTTATTTCTGGTGTAATTAGGCTGAACTCTGATTAAAGAATCAAACAGGAACACAGTCGATGTTTTTATGACCCCGAAACTCGACCTGATTGATAAGAACAACCCCCAACTTATAGCCCCGCCCCTTTTTTAAAAAATTCTGAAATGAGTGGACTGTGATTGGTCCACTACACCTGAAAACAGTGTTTGGTATTAAAACATCATTAATAACATTGTTACTTTATTCAGTAACTAATTTTGTAACACGTTGATTTTTTAAATTCAGTAACTCCGATTCCGTTACCAAACGCTGCGTTACTCCGTTCTCCCAGGTTTTACAACGACACACAGTTCCAATAACATTTTAGCGATCAACAAAGTCTAACTGAATCGGAAAAATAAAGCACTTGTCACCCTCTAGCTAGCATCAAACATGTGCCATGAAGAGGACTGAACAGGTCAGGGAACGGCGTGATGGCGAGCAAAAGGAAAAACAACATTTCAGTAAAAGGTCAACTCTGTCCTGATGGGTCAAAAATCATTTCTACGACGAACAACAACAACAGAAATCTACTGAAGCAATCAACTGACAAAGTTAGCGGCTCAGGTAGCTAACGCTAACGCAGCATTAGAGAGTCACAGCAGCGAGGACACGCCCACTCCACCCAAACAGCAGTAAGAGTTCGACAGACGGATCCATATTCAGGAACAACCAGATAAAACAGTCACACAGTACCACTTATTCCCATTAGGGGTCACTGGGGGGGTGGAGCCTATCCCAGTATCTTCGAGCGATGGCAGGGGACACCCTGGACAAGTCGTCAGTTCATCACAGGACTGACATACAGAGACGAACAACCGTCCACCCTCACATTCACACCTACAGGTGATTAACCTAACCTCACCTCTGCATGTGTTTGGGACGTTGGAGTAAACCGGAGTAAACCGGAGTAAACCGGAGTAAACCGGAGTAAACCCACGCAGACACGGGGAGGACACGCAAACTCCACACAGAAACACCCTGAGCAGGATTTAAACCCAGGACCTTCTTGCTGTGAGGCGACAGTGATGTGGATGTAAATGACTGTTTGTTTTAATCAAGTTTGTTTGATTCATCATCAGAACAGAACTAAACTTAATCAATAATGATGTACCGGGATTATTGGACGAACATTTACAGGAACTAAACGGCGACTTTCTCAGTAACTCGTTAGTTTTTAGTTTCACTGACTAAGTTACTTTTTCTACAAAGTAACTAGTTACTATTTTTCCGTCACTGTTTGCCACTGATGATTAAATGTTTAAAATGGCGGGTCATAAAAGTGACCACATCCATCTGGGCGTGGTCACTTTTATGAACAGGAAGTGAGGTTTTCACTGTGGTTCAATAAAAAACAAACTCACAGCTGAGTTTCACTCGTTTATTTCAGATTCAGAGAATTATCCTCTCTGATCAATAACAGTGATCAGATATTTAAACATCAACAAACTAAATACATGAGGGACAGTGGGTCTGATCCTGTGACCTTTGACCTCTGTCTGTTTACAAGTTCACTACAGTTCACAAACATCATCACAGAGTTCATCAGAAGGGTCAGTATTTGGGCCTCTTCACGTCCACCCTGAAAAAACAACGACAACGACAAAGTTTAGAGACTGAAGTTTAAAGAAAGACAGAACCAGAACCAGAACCAGAACTACTGACCCGTCCGCCTCCATCTTCTTCCTCTTCTCGATGATCTGAAACACACACACACACACACAAACACACACACACACAGAGTTTTTATCACACTCAGACCTGTCTGTGTTTCATGTTTGTCTTCATGTTCATGTCGGCTGTTTGTGTTTCTCTCTCACCGCGCTGATCTTTTTCCACTGGCGGTCCAGTTCTGCCTTCTCATTGGTTTCTTTGAAGCGGCGAGTCTTTCTGCCTTCAGACATCTTTATACCGTACTGGAAGGCAGCCCTGCAGGGACAAACTTCATGATCAACACTGTCCTACAACCTAATACATGATACAACCTGATGAAGCCTGACAGTCAGAGCTGAGGGGGAAATGAGGCTGAGTGAACCTGACAGTCAGAACTGAGGGGGAAATGAAGCTGAGTGAACCTGACAGTCAGTGCTGAGGGATTAATAACAGACTTACTTTGGCAGCGCCTCCTTGTTGTTCATATAATCTGAATATTCCTCCTGAGTGTCAAAGTCCCAGCGACCGAGAGGACCCTTCTTGTTCCCCTGAAACACACACACACACACACACACACACACACACACACACACACACACACACACACACACACACACACACAGAGTCATGATTACACATCAAAGTGAGGACCAATAACTATGTCCCCTTATAAAAAGGACATGGTGTCTCTTTTCTGTCCTTGGGATTTGTAGTCTACCTGGTCCATCTTGCTGTAGTCCACCTCCTCATCACTGTCCACAGCCAGATCGTCCATCCTGCACACACACACACACACACACACACACACACACACACACACACACACACAGGTACAGTTTAAGTACAGGTAGGAATTCTAGGACTGCATTTCCAGGATGTAGGATGTTTTTTGTAGGATGTGCGATAATGTTCTGTTCGATGTTCAGAGCCGACAGCCCACGCTCAGATTGAGTTTGTAATGACGTTTCATAGCCAATCAGAGGCGAAGGAGGCGGGACCTTCCCCTACCATCCTTTGATAAAAAGTATTGTGTCCAGGACAGACGTGTTGTTATTGCAGCCGTTATAGTAAAGGTTAGTCCAGTAACAATGGTTCTGTCTCTGTTTACATGGATATGATGGAAAAACTCTGGTGGTGTTTTCTGGCACTAGTGTGTACTAAAATTGTGTATTTGTGTGTATTCATTTGTATTGGAGTGTGTGTCTTACGTGGCAGGGTAACACTCGGCGTATGAATTGGATCCTCCAAAGAAATCTCCCAGCTGCTCTTTGCTGTCTCTCCTCTGAGAACCAGTTCAGGGCGGTTAAAGAAAAATACTGCAGAAATACTGAACAAAGTACTCCGTCTGTGTACAAATACTGCACACATTACTGTTAACCCTTTGTTTACAGAAGGATATGGCTCCTGGCCCTGCCATTGGCTCCCTGCTGCTCCTGCAAACTTTTCATTGATTATCTTGATCTGCTCTCTGACCGATCCGGGACCTGAGTGACGGACAGACTGTTAGTGTGTACTGTCTCTTTAAATACTGTTAGTGTGTACTGTCTCTTTAAATAACAAAGACTGTTAGTGTGTACTGTCTCTTTAAATACAGTTAGTGTGTACTGTCTCTTTAAATAACAAAGACTGTTAGTGTGTACTGTCTCTTTAAATACAGTTAGTGTGTACTGTCTCTTTAAAGACTGTTAGTGTGTAGTGTCTCTTTAAATAAAAACACAGACTGTTAGTGTGTAGTGTCTCTTTAAATAAAAACACAGACTGTTAGTGTGTACTGTCTCTTTAAATACAGTTGGTGTGTACTGTCTCTTTAAATAACAAAGACTGTTAGTGTGTACTGTCTCTTTAAATACTGTTAGTGTGTACTGTCTCTTTAAATTAAGACACAGACTGTTAGTGTGTACTGTCTCTTTAAATAAAAACACAGACTGTTAGTGTGTACTGTCTCTTTAAATACAGTTAGTGTGTACTGTCTCTTTAAATAAAAACACAGACTGTTAGTGTGTACTGTCTCTTTAAATATAAACACAGACTGTTAGTGTGTACTGTCTCTTTAAATAAACACAGACTGTTAGTGTGTACTGTCTCTTTAAATACAGTTAGTGTGTACTGTCTCTTTAAATAAAAACACAGACTGTTAGTGTGTACTGTCTCTTTAAATATAAACACAGACTGTTAGTGTGTACTGTCTCTTTAAATAAACACAGACTGTTAGTGTGTACTGTCTCTTTAAATAACAAAGACTGTTAGTGTGTACTGTCTCTTTAAATACTGTTAGTGTGTACTGTCTCTTTAAATAACAAAGACTGTTAGTGTGTACTGTCTCTTTAAATACAGTCTGTTAGTGTGTACTGTCTCTTTAAATAACAAAGACTGTTAGTGTGTACTGTCTCTTTAAATACAGTCTGTTAGTGTGTACTGTCTCTTTAAAATAACAAAGACTGTTAGTGTGTACTGTCTCTTTAAATACAGTCTGTTAGTGTGTACTGTCTCTTTAAATAAAAACAAAGACTGTTAGTGTGTACTGTCTCTTTAAATACAGTTAGTGTGTACTGTCTCTTTAAATACTGTTAGTGTGTACTGTCTCTTTAAATAAAAACACAGACTGTTAGTGTGTACTGTCTCTTTAAATAACAAAGACTGTTAGTGTGTACTGTCTCTTTAATTAAAGACACAGACTGTTAGTGTGTACTGTCTCTTTAAATTAAGACACAGACTGTTAGTGTGTACTGTCTCTTTAAATACAGTTAGTGTGTACTGTCTCTTTAAATACTGTTAGTGTGTACTGTCTCTTTAAATACAGTTAGTGTGTACTGTCTCTTTAAATACAGTTAGTGTGTACTGTCTCTTTAAATAAGGTTAGTGTGTACTGTCTCTTTAATTAAAGACACAGACTGTTAGTGTGTACTGTCTCTTTAAATAAAGACTGTTAGTGTGTACTGTCTCTTTAAATACAGTTAGTGTGTACTGTCTCTTTAATTAAAGACACAGACTGTTAGTGTGTACTGTCTCTTTAAATACAGTTAGTGTGTACTGTCTCTTTAAATACTGTTAGTGTGTACTGTCTCTTTAAATAAAAACACAGACTGTTAGTGTGTACTGTCTCTTTAAATACAGTTAGTGTGTACTGTCTCTTTAAATACTGTTAGTGTGTACTGTCTCTTTAAATACAGTTAGTGTGTACTGTCTCTTTAAATACTGTTAGTGTGTACTGTCTCTTTAAATACAGTTGGTGTGTACTGTCTCTTTAAATACAGTAAGTGTGTACTGTCTCTTTAAATTAAGACACAGACTGTTAGTGTGTACTGTCTCTTTAAATACAGTTAGTGTGTACTGTCTCTTTAAATACAGTTAGTGTGTACTGTCTCTTTAAATACAGTTAGTGTGTACTGTCTCTTTAAATACTGTTAGTGTGTACTGTCTCTTTAAATACTGTTAGTGTGTACTATCTCTTTAAATAACAAAGACTGTTAGTGTGTACTGTCTCTTTAAATAAGGTTAGTGTGTACTGTCTCTTTAATTAAAGACACAGACTGTTAGTGTGTACTGTCTCTTTAAATAAAGACTGTTAGTGTGTACTGTCTCTTTAAATACAGTTAGTGTGTACTGTCTCTTTAATTAAAGACACAGACTGTTAGTGTGTACTGTCTCTTTAAATAAAGACTGTTAGTGTGTACTGTCTCTTTAAATACAGTTAGTGTGTACTGTCTCTTTAATTAAAGACACAGACTGTTAGTGTGTACTGTCTCTTTAAATACAGTTAGTGTGTACTGTCTCTTTAAATACTGTTAGTGTGTACTGTCTCTTTAAATAAAAACACAGACTGTTAGTGTGTACTGTCTCTTTAAATAACAAAGACTGTTAGTGTGTACTGTCTCTTTAATTAAAGACACAGACTGTTAGTGTGTACTGTCTCTTTAAATACAGTTAGTGTGTACTGTCTCTTTAAATACAGTTAGTGTGTACTGTCTCTTTAAATACTGTTAGTGTGTACTGTCTCTTTAAATACAGTTAGTGTGTACTGTCTCTTTAAAAAACAAAGACTGTTAGTGTGTACTGTCTCTTTAAATAAGGTTAGTGTGTACTGTCTCTTTAATTAAAGACACAGACTGTTAGTGTGTACTGTCTCTTTAAATAAAGACTGTTAGTGTGTACTGTCTCTTTAAATACAGTTAGTGTGTACTGTCTCTTTAATTAAAGACACAGACTGTTAGTGTGTACTGTCTCTTTAAATACTGTTGGTGTGTACTGTCTCTTTAAATACAGCCTGTTAGTGTGTACTGTCTCTTTAAATACAGTCTGTTAGTGTGTACTGTCTCTTTAAATACAGTCTGTTAGTGTGTACTGTCTCTTTAAATACAGTCTGTTAGTGTGTACTGTCTCTTTAAATACAGTCTGTTAGTGTGTACTGTCTCTTTAAATACAGTTAGTGTGTACTGTCTCTTTAAATACAGTTAGTGTGTACTGTCTCTTTAAATACAGTTAGTGTGTACTGTCTCTTTAAATACAGTCTGTTAGTGTGTACTGTCTCTTTAAATACAGTCTGTTAGTGTGTACTGTCTCTTTAAATACAGTCTGTTAGTGTGTACTGTCTCTTTAAATACAGTTAGTGCGTACTGTCTCTTTAAATACAGTCTGTTAGTGTGTACTGTCTCTTTAAATACAGTCTGTTAGTGTGTACTGTCTCTTTAAATACAGTCTGTTAGTGTGTACTGTCTCTTTAAATACAGTTAGTGTGTACTGTCTCTTTAAATACAGTTAGTGTGTACTGTCTCTTTAAATGACTGTGTATCTAAATAGCTACGTAGTAGTTTGCAGGTGTGGACAGTCTCACCTGTGTCCACCTCCATGACCTGCAGACACACAAAGACAAACAGTGAAGACGATCAGAGGTGAAGGAGACGAAAATCGTCATATTTAAACATTTTAACGTTCAGAGATCGTCAGTCTGTCTGACCTGGTGGTCGTCTCCTCGCGGTTTCTCGAAGTAGCTGTGTCTCCGAGCTTTGCTGTCGTCCTCCCTCTCCCTGTCCCTCTCCCTGTCTCTGTCCCGCTCCCTGTCCCTCTCTCGGTGTCGGTCCTTGTCCTTGGGGGGTTTGGAGGTGGAGCTGGTGGACAGGATGTAGTCCCCGATGTCGTCAAAGATGCTGAAACATGAACAGAGTCCAGGTCAGATCGAGTCGAGACGCCAGAACAGAGAGTCTCAGCTGCGTTTTTACTGACCTCAGATCAGCCTCAGGAGCGCGCTTCTCATCCAGTTTACCTGGAACACACACACACACAGGGACACACACAGGGACACACACACAATCAGAAATATCCCGTCAGTCAAACTGGAGCTGAAAAGGATCAGGATGAATCAGAATCACTCAGTCTCGTGTTTGTGTGTTTATGTCTCTGTAACAGGACATGTCGTCAGTGTTTAAGTGGGTTAGTGTGTGTAACTGATAACTAACACACACACACACACACACACACACACACACACACACACACACACACACACACACACAGAGGTGAAGTCAGGTACCTTTGTCCTTCTTCTTGATCTTCTTGTGTCTGGTTCCCTGACGAAGGTACGACAGGATCTGAGTCAGCTTCGAAATCACGATGTCGTTGGTGGTGAGAGTCGTCTGAGCCTGAGACACACACACAAAAACAGACACAAACAGACACACAAAGACACACACACACACAAACACAATCATCAGTGAAGGTACAGTTACAGGTGTTGCTCAGATGTTGTCCAGGACCTGTCGAGGTTTTCCTGAGTTTATAGTTTTTAAAAGGGTTTTAAATGTTTTTTAATGTGTTGTTGGAGAGTTTTTAGTTCTTAAAAGGGTTTTAAATGTTTTTTAATGTGTTGTTAGAAAGTTTTTTGTTTTTCAATGGGTTTTAAATGTTTTTTAAGTTCTTATCGGAGAGTTTTTAAAAGGGTTTCAAATGGTTTTTTTGAGATCTTGGAGTTTTTTGTTAAAAGGGTTTTAAATGTTTCTTGAAGTTGTTGGAGAGTTTTTAGTTCTTAAAAGGTTTTAAAAGGTTGTTTTTTAAAGGTGTTGATTTGTTTTTTACTTTTTCAAAAGGGTTTTCAGTGTTTCTTTAAGATGTTGGAGAGTTTTTAGTTTTTAAAAGGGTTTTAAATGTTTTTTTGAGATCTTGGAGTTTTTTGTTAAAAGGGTTTTAAATGTTTTTTAAGTTCTTATCGGAGAGTTTTTAAAAGGGTTTTAAATGATTTTTTGAGATCTTGGAGTTTTTTGTTAAAAGGGTTTTAAATGTTTTTCAAAGTGTTGTTGGAGAGTTTTTAGTTCTTAAAAGGTTTTAAAAGGTTGTTTTTTAAAGTTTTTCAGATGCCGATCACAGGTTCTTCTGGTGTATTCAGGTTGCACTGAGGTGTTATCAGGATTCAGGTGTTCAGGTGTCAGTACCTCCATGCTGGGACAGTCCGCTTTGCTGCGGATCAGAGTTGTCGGGATGTCCGTGTCAGTGAACTCGTCGTCCAGGTCGACCACGTACGCCATCCTCCCGGGCAGGAAGAGCTCGTTCCTCTCCTGCCCGGTCCTGAACACCACGCGGTAAATGTTCCTGCCTGAGAGACACAGGTGGACTTTATTCTCCGGGTGAACATCTGAATTTTTGTCTTTTAAAAAAACGTCTTTCTCTCCTGATTCCTCGTCGCTCTGATCAAACACAAATCTGAGCTGAAGGAGGATTTCTATCATGTCATGATCTCAGCCAATGAAAACACTCAGAGACGGCAAGCTCATCAGACCGACTCACCCAGACGAGTCTTAAACTCGATTTTCTCCTCGGGCTCCAGGTCCTTCCTGACAGACAGACAGACACAGGTCAAAGGTCAGTGGGTTTATAAACTCAGCAGGTTAGGACTGAACACCTGCGTCACCTCACCTGAGCGTCTGTAACGTTGACCATCAACAGCCAATCAGATTCACTTATACTAAAGCAGGACTTACTTTGCTTCTTTCTGGACCTTCTCCATCATGTCTTCTTCTTCTTTCTCTTT